ACTTAATTATATATATATATATATATATATATATATATATATATATATATAGTTTACCCTGGACATCCGTTTAGGTGAAACCTAGGTAGGTTTGTCTGGCTCCTTAGGATTTATTCTAGTTTATTGCTCGGCTTAGCGTATTGAGCACTCTGTTGCATACCACCGAAATAGTTCAAATATACACATCAAAATCATGTCCGGATATACAGGATTCCGGATATAAGGCACTCCGGATATGAGGGATTCCGGATATGAGGGATTCCGGATATGAGGGATTCTAGTGTATTTTATATTCAAACTGAAACAAAAGGCTCTTAAAATATTTGAAAATAGAAAATAACTGCCCCGCCTGACAAACTCAATGAATCAAAAAACAATATTGCCCTACAAATTAACTGTCACAACTACAACTGAAAAGGACTTACCTAAACCCAACATAAAATTTGCTACTAGTAGATTTAAAACAATAAAAGACTAAATCAATACTAAATAAGACAATAAGCTAAAACTTGATGGAGGAATTTTCTCGATTGCCTGTAGTAACTGTCACAAAAATACATAGGTGAAACCTCTAGGAATCTAAATAAAAGATTATATAGGAATACAAACGAACAGCACTGGAACTCTCCAAGAGACCATTTGTCAAGAGGACCAGAACTGACGCATTCGATCGTTACCAGCAAACGGAAAGCTTCAACATCCGACTTCGTTTTCACTTGATCCCAAAAACTTTCTTTTATTTAGTTATTTATTTACTTCCATTTTGGTCAAGTGGGTGCTATAAAACGGAAACACTTGAAATCAAATTCAAAACTTCCTCTTCTATCATATTGACAGAGAGTTATCATTATCTACCTTATTTATACTCGAACTAAAAGATGAAGAAAATAGTCCAAAGATTAGTAAGGTAAACCATGACATTAGTTTGTATTTTCTTTCAGGGACCTTTTCAATTAAGATGGACGGAAATTATTTGTCACGATTAAGGTTTTGACTAGCGTCGATAATCTGAATAAGATCCGACTATTTCAACTGCCTATCCAGTTAAGTTAGCTTTGGGAAAGTAGTTTCACTATGGGCCCTGTCATTTACTTCCGCCTCTAAGAGATTTTGTCAATCGATCTGACGCAAAGGGTACTGACATTCCGAATATTTGCAAGTACGGGATCAGAATAAGACGATTGTATGCGAAGGCATTGCTAATGATTTTAGGATAATATTGAATTGAAATCCGGAAGAAAGTAATTGTCAGGAGTCAGATTCTAAGGCAAACGCTAATGACGAAATTGGGCTGTTGCTTATACAGTGACTTGATGAGAGTCATTTACATGATTTTGTTGCTTAAAATTATCAACTGCAAGCCCAGCTGCAATGAAAGTTGGTTCACTATACAATGTGGGGCAATTTTTCTCACCGGAATCTATTTTACACATTTATAACTTTACCGTTCGTCAGTGGATTGAATATTTCTGCTACATTTAGTCCGGGACTTCTACTATAGCGTCCTGGATAAGACGATAAACTACGTCCGCGTCCTGGGTAAGACGATAAACTACGTCCGCGTCCTGGGTAAGACGATAAACTACGTCAAACATCCGCGTCCTGGGTAACTACATCCGACAGCAAGACCTCTGATCAGGAAGTTTTGCGAAGCGCGGAACCAACTCCTCATTGCTGGTGTTCCCAAGTTCACCCTGACCCGAGGTGGTAGCACTTGTTAGGGTCCCAGCTATGGGCAAATAGTTAACCTCAAATTGGAGTAGAACACTACGAAAGTGTAAAAATAGGTTTTAGTACCAGCAATAAATTTTTGTAAAAAATTATTACCAGTTATGAAATTTTGAAGGCAAACATTATTACCAGCAATACATTTTTGAAATAAAGTATTACCACCAATAAAAATTTTGTCGACATTAAATAACCCATTGAGGTTGATTAGCCGTAAAGCAAAACAAACCAAACCGAACTTCTATTATATATTTAGAGATTCTTGCTAAAATACGAAGAAAGATCTGATATGTTATTGGTCCTGACCTGGCATCTCGGCTTCAGACACTTTCCAACTTTTGATCTGAACAATTACTGTGACAATATTTATAAAAAAAAAAAAGATAAAGGAAATCTAAGTTACTGCAATGGGAAAATAACCGAAGCCGAAATGCCAGATTAGGACCGATACAATTGCGGATTATTCTTTCGCTTTTATCAGGGATATATAGATATAGAGTTTACGTGGAACAACGAAACTAACTCATGTCACATGCCTACAACAAACACAATTATGAAACTGTTGTGGTAAACCGTCCTATAGTAGAATGAACTCTTCCTCCTCTCTTGAATACAAACTGCGAGAGTCGGATAGAAGAGTGTGAAGTGAAGGGGAGTAGTAGATGCAGTGCTCATCTACTTATTACTAACCCTATTGTTTTGTATATATCTTCAATATACTTTTCCAACCTACCTTCATCTTCTGTGTCTTTCTTTCTGGCCCCTAAACAGGCCACAATAGAAAGCATCACCAACCCACGCTTCACTTCTTTAGAACCGGGGTCCTTAGTTCCATGGGATCTGTGATTCACTTGAACCATGGCAAAATAACTGGAGATGATTCATCAGACCGCGCTACAAGTGGATATTACCCGAAGCTCCAATTAGCAATGTTATGACCCCTGGTGAGGCGCTGCGTATGGTTCGTTGTGTTAGTCTTTGGTTCTCTGATCTCGTATCCGATATGAGCTCAAGAATCAACCTGTTGTCTATTCATTTGGTGCCTCCTATATTCTATGTGGATGTCATTCGAGCCAGTTTCGCTTGTCCGTTATCACAAACACCTCTAGACAGACATCTCTGGTTTCGATTATTAAAGGGTTCAGACACTGAGTTGTCTACGGTGGGTGATCATGGCTTCCCTCAGATATTCCAAGGACATAGTAAATAGAGGTTTTGTCAAATCAAATGCCAGACTATTTTGACACCCACTATCATGCCCAGTTCGGAATCGGGTAATTCCCATCGAATTGCCATGAGCAGCCCTATCGGGGTTCCCATTAACTTACCAAATGTTTGGTCAGAACTAATATAGAATTGGGAATGTCCATCATGTCACAACTTTCTATTAACTTTACACATGTTTGCTACGACAGTGTGTAATGCAAATAAATAGATTTATTATAGAAATAAGAAGCATGAAGAATAAGTTTGTCAGTAGTCTGTAACTAAGGTAGGTGATATTAAGATGACTAGGCAGTTGTATGTAAAATGTAATTACATTGCTAATGGTTTTATTATAAATTGCATTGACAATCAGAATGAAAGGGTTTGCCAGAGTCAGGAATTAAAGGAAAACTATTCTAAAGTAATATGGCAATTCTATGTATAATATAATTGCATTGCTAATGCTTTTATTATAGAATTGCATTGAAATCAAGGGGGTAAAGATTGTCAGTGGTCGGTAATTTGAGTAAATGGAATAAGACTGTTATATACAGAATCTAAATGTATTGAGAATGATTTTACTATAGAAATACACTGAAAACAGAGCATAAAGAGGATAGGAATAACTATAGGAATTACTGAAAGAGTAATGCTTTTGTATGTATAATCTAATTCATTAAAAATTAGAAAGGGATTGTCACTTGTCAGGAATTAATGTAACCATTACTGAAAGAATAGGTTTATTACATGTAAAGGGTGTTTCATTAAGAGGGATCAAAGTAAGATGTAAATAGATCAGTGTTGTTGGTGAAAATTTATTTATTTCCCTATTGGATAATATTATTAAATCATGGAAATTATGTGTGAAAAATAATATCCTCAAAATGTCCGCCAAATCTGAAAGAAAAAGAAAAAAAATCATTAAACCCTTAAACTTAATTCACATTAAAATCGGTCCAAGTTATTGGATCCCTTTCCCTACGTAAATATATTAAAAATCAGGAGAAAAGGGATTATCATTGGTCAAGTTATAATGTAAGCATTACTGAAAGAATAGGCCTATTACATGTACTGTGTGAATACATTGAAAATCGGGAGGAAACATATTGCCAATGTAAACATTACTAAAAGAATTAGGTTTCTATATATATATATTATGTAAAAGCATTAAAAATCAAGAGGAAAGGGATTGTGAATGGTCAGGATTTAATGTAAACATTGCTTAACGAATAGGTTTATTACATGTACTATCTAAATACATTGAAAATCAGGAGGAAAGTTGTTATATACCGTACCTATGAACACTAAATACGTTGGACACTGTTTTAAGTGGGAGTAATATGCTGTATATGTAGTCCACCACTATCAGTGGTTTACCTACTCCACACCGCTGGCGAGTATTGTATTTTGTTGATGTTATAAAGATTACCATTTCATTTCTAATTTTCGTTTTGGTCATTTCTGATACAGGAACCTTTTCTAGGTTACAACAAAAGGTATTGTCAGTGTAAGCATTGCTGAAAAAATATGGTTTATATATATATATATATATATGTGTGTGTGTGTGTGTGTGTGTGTGTGTGTGTGTGTGTGTGTGTATCATGTAAAAGATTGAAAATCAAGAGGAAAGGAATTGTCAATGTTCAGGATTTAATGTAAGCATTATGGACAGAAAGTTGTTTTTTATACGTACAATGGAAATGCTTTACTAATAATCTTACAATATAAATGCAATTAAATCAATTTCAATATTAAAATTGCAACCCAAATGATTTTACCATTTAAATCCATTGAAAACCGAGGTGCCATATATTTCTGTGTAATGCAAGTACTCATTCATTTAATCCTCTTCTTCGCCTTTAGTCATCGTGACATGTCAGTGATGAGAAAATTTTGGCAAAATATTGAACTATGAGACAAGTGTGAATACATGCTATTATTAAGGAGATTTTTTGTTTCCAAGAAGCGAACATAAGGAGAAGAAATTAGAACCCTGCCTGTTCAGCCTGACGGCTAATGCCACGTGAAAAATAATCGTATTATCTTATCTGGCCTTTTCAGGACTGATGTTTGTCTCAAATCGGTGGGCGTCTTTATCTCTGAACGATGACACTTTAGAATCTGTTTATGGCCATTTTGTCCAAAGAGAAGTCGACGTAACGTTTACTGACAAATTTCTAAAAACAAAACAAAACAAAACAAAAATAAAGAACACTATCTGTAACGTCAAGATATCACGTCATACGAAATTGAAAAGTTTTTTTTTTTTTTTCCTAATCTCTTGAGAGTGGTTTTGATATGAAGTACAGACATAGCGTAATGTTTACTCTTGTACAGTTCAACCTCTTTAATCTGGAACACTTGAAACGTTTCTGGAAAATAAACAATGTTGCCAGCTGTAAGTTTTTGGGAAAGTAATATTGCCAGCTATACGTTTCTGAAAAAAAAATAATGTTGCCAGCTATATGTTTAATAGTACTATATATTTATATATATATATATATATATATATATATATATATATATATATATATATATATATATATATATATATATATATATATATAATTATCAGCCCAACCTGATATAATTATATATATAAACTTAATTTGGCATTAAATGACCTATAGTGGTTGATATGCCATAAAACTCAACCAGCCAACCAACCAACCAACCAACCAATCTATCTATCTATCTATCTATCTATCTATCTATCTATCTATCTATCTATCTATCTATCTATCTCAGTCTGTTCATACTATCTATAAATCTGTCCCAGTCTGTTTATATCTATTTCAATTTGTTCATATCTACCTATCTGTATTCTGTAAGAAAAAAACTTACCAGAATTATATCTTTGTAAAAGAAATTATTAATGCTCATAAGAAAGTTAACTTTCAGCATTAAATGAGCAATATGTATGTCTATATAATTCTGTTCTTTATCTATCTATCTATCTATCTATCTATCTATCTATCTATCTATCTATCTATCGATTGATCGATCGAACTATCTATCTATCACTTTCTCTTTCGGTCTCCTGTTTCCATCTATCTATCTCATTCTCATTCTATCTCATTCTCTTTCTATCTCTCTATCGGTGTATCTACTTGGTGCGATGGATAAATTGTCGTCTAAATTGTGTAAACATGAAAATAACACCGATATGTCATTTTAACAGATATACAGGGTGCGATGGATAAATTGTCGTCTAAATGCCGCAAAAATGAAAATAACACTGATATCTCATTTTAACAGATACATTTACTAAAATTACACAAAAAATATCTTGAAATACTAAAAAGTAAATTTATTCAATAAAATCGGCGTTGGCTTCAACTACGGCCTCCAGACAAATTCGAAATCGCCTGAAACTTTTCTGGGCGGTATCCTTGTTTGATAATTACTGCCATAATCCTTGACTTCAGTTCATCTTTGGTGTTACAAGGAGTTTTGTTGGTCTCTCACTCAACTGCGCCCAAAACATAGTAATCAAGGGGGGTTGCAATCTGGCGAGTTCGGTGGTCAGACGTTAGTGGTGATGTGGTCGCAGAAATTGTCTCACATCCATGACAGGGTTCTCCTGCTTGTGTGGCATGGTGTAGAGTCTTGTCGCCAGACATAGGGTCTCCCAGCAGCCACCCTCTTGACCCAGGGCAGTACTACCTCAAGACACTTGTTGAAGGCATCCGTGTTGAGACTCAGGCCCCGTGGTGTGATGAATGGAGGGATAACGTCGCCATCACTAGTGACCAGACTTGCCGTAACTTCGTAATCACCATTGGACTCATCCAACTCTTTTCCAATCCTCTGCACTGTCCTCAGATTGACAAGCAAACAGTCTGAAATTTTCATATTGGAGCTTCCGGTACCAATCTGTAGAGCATAGAAATTTGTGGCGGTGTGAATTGGGTCATGATGGTCTTTTTCTCACAGATGGTGTCCAAAATCAGAAATAGACAATGCGCATGCAGAAAATCAAAATATAGAATGGCGACAATTTACCTATGGCACTCTCTCTCTCTCTCTCTCTCTCTCTATATATATATATATATATATATATATATATATATATATATATATATATATATATCTGTTTTTTCTGTCTCATTCTGTTTTTATATATCTATCTTATTCAGTTCCTATTTATTTATCTATCCATCTACCTAGCTATCTAGGTTTGTTTATATCTATCTAGTTCGCTATCTCACTTTTTATATATGCATATATATATATATATATATATATATATATATATATATATATATATATATATATATATATATTATAATTATATATATATATATATATCATAATTATATATATATACATTATAATTATATTTATTATACATTATAATTATATTTTCATATATAATTATATATCCAACTACCTAGCTATCTTCGTTTGTTTATATCTATCTATCTAGTTCCTTATCTCACTCTGTTTATATATGCATATATATATATATATATATATATATATATATAATATATGCATATATATATATATATATATATATATATAATTATACATATATATATTATATAATTATATATATATATATATATATATATATTATAATTATATATATATATATATATATATATATATATATATATATATATTATAATTATATATATATATATATATATGATTCGGTTTATATTTATCTATGTATCTATCGGTCTTTTTATCTATCATCTCCGATACATTCTTATAATATAAAAATACTATATAACTTTAAATAAACTGCAAAGGGTTGATAAGCCGTAGAAAACGAATCTATCTGTCTATCTATCTATCTATCTATCTATATATATATATATATATATATATATATATAAGGTTTAAAATACATGTTTTTTGTCGTCATTGTTGTAGGCACTTGAGACTTTGATCTGTTACTCGTGGAAAGGCTGAAGTGATTTAACCAACAATGTTTCCGCCATATATTGGGTAGCCGCTGACTAATATACATAACTGTCATTGATAAGCACAAATTCTGCCAGTCTACCATTAGATGGTGCTTCAGCGCCGGTACCGATGGAATGGTCATGTGGCCAGGATGTAGGACGATAGAAGCCCTAAGCAATTTATATCCGATGAGTTAGCTGATTTGAAAAGACCAGCGCAAATGTCTGTATAGATATATGAAGGTTACATCAACAACACTGAAGAAAGCCAACGTTATACAAACTGACCCGTAAAACCTTGCTCTAAATCAGTGATTCAAAACCTTTCTGGGGGTCATGCCCCACCTAAGCATCTCTAAAACCAACACCCCACCCCGCCACATAACATAAAATTCTCATTATTCAAAAAGTGAATTCTTATTCATATGGAGGAAGGCTAAAACGTCAGTAATTTAACTTTTCCTTAAGAACTTGTAACTGCATATATGCAATATTATTATTATCATTTAATCTTAGAACTTTACAATACTTACAAAAATATTGTATTATTAATATATATTTTCGTAAAATATATCTATTGGATGCTTTAGTACACATCATCAGTGATGTTTCAAGCCGATGTTCATTAGGGGATTCGGGTCTTTCAACATCATACCCCCTCTTCAGGGTGACCCGACCGATACTGATACATAAAGACAAGTTGCAGACAAGATGGCAGAGAGCTTGTCCCAGCCGCTGGTTGTGATACGTCCCATGTGATTGCCTGCTGAAGAGAACCTCCTGATTTCAGCCTTGTGCCAAACTTTACAAAGAACAGCAAACCAGATTTTGCCAAGTCAACAATAATATCACTTTCGATTTAGACGCGGGTTTGGCTGATAATTAATTGAATGCGAACTCTGATATAAACCAGTTATTGTACAGAGGACTGATATAAAAACAGTAATTATTTTTGTTCAATTTATTTGAGTGTTATTTTTCTTTTTTCCCGTACATCTTCGCCCTGCTTGGACCCACCCAACACAAAGATAACTGCGACGATTTGATCTTGGCTGATATGATCAATCTTAAATCACAATGGGCGATAAAGTTAGCTCAGAATTGAAGCGGTCATTTCAGTGACCAGTCATGGTGTTGGAAGTCTTGGACGACCGGGGAGGGTGTTGTGGGATTAAAATAGCATGAATAGCTATATTGTGGAAAAATAAGTGAAATTACCTGAAAATACAATTTAAGCATCAAGTTCAGTGATGTGTTTGCTAGATTAAAAGGAGGACTTGAAAATACATCTAGTGAAACAATTAACCATTGTATGCAAAAAAAAAAATCTATAAAATGGTTAATTTATATTATGAAGACATAAAAAACAAAGATATATCTGAAGATATCTAATTCAGATCTCTCTACGAATAGTGATTCTGACTCTTCTGATTTTTAATTTTTTTTTTTTTAGGATTTTAGTAATATGAGTTACTTTTATTTCCTATTATTAATTTAATTTCCATTTTGTAAAATACATCTATTGGATGCTTTGGTACACATCCTCAGTAATGTTTCTAGCCGAGGTTCATTAGGGGTTTCTGGTCTTTCAACATCATACCCCTCTCCACAGTGACACAGATCAATAATTATATATATATATATATATATATATATATATATATATATATATATATATATATTATTATTTTTTTTAAAATACTGAGATATCTGAATCAGATATCTTCAGATACATCTTCGTTATTTTATGTCCTCATAATATAAATTAACAATTTTATAGATATGTTTGCATACAATGGTTAATTGTTTCACTAGATGTATTTTCAAGTCCTCCTTCGCTACATAAGAGTTTTCATGTTTCAAAAACGAGAGCCGAAGCCATCAATATAATATAATTATTAAAATTAAATTGAATTAAAGTAGCAAGTCCTGTTTCATCCTCAAGCGAAAATTTAGGAATAACCAATTTTGAAATTGACGTATCGTTATAAGCGTGTTCATTCGTTACTATGGAAACGGCTGGGGCGACCATTTTTGATAAGGAACCTAAGAGTTAATTTTTATCCACATATCAGTCACCTTCAGGGAGAGGTCAAGCTGATGTAGGGTGGGGTGTCTATTTCAAAGCGAATGATGTCTTTCTTGTACGAGCATCGTCTGTCCATTCCCAGAGAAAGATAGATTTTGGCACCATAGTATGTTGTTAAGTGTCTGGATGATTTTGTCTTGTTTTATTTTATTTATTTATTTATTTTCAACGGGCTGTTTCATATATAAATGCGTCGCACTGAACTACAATTTGTTTTTTTGACGACTTCGTAAAGGGTTTTCCCTTTAATGATTGGGTTAAGCTTTTTAGCCCTTTATTAAACTATGAATTTTTTTTCTGCTAATTATTTAATGCGAAATTTTGTTGATGTCGGCAAAAAACCGTTAACTCATGTCTATGGTTTAATAAATTTTCATTATTTAGAAACTTAATTATGTGTAGTTTTTTCATGTAGGCATAAAGGGCATGGGTCACCCTAGGTTTTACAAGTTATGGTTCTATTTATTATTTTCCATCTTACTTTTGATGTTTTCTTCATTTCTTTTAAATGCCAAAAATAGAGATGTCTGATTTCTATTTTGAATATTGTTGAAGGAGCTTTTGTGCTGCCTCCACCTTATTTTAAATTCATTCTTCGTTGACCCAATGTATATCCTATTGGTGTTAGGACTCTCAATGGATGAGATAGTGCATGGGTATACTACGGATTTTATGAGGTATTTATTTTCCAACGGGAAGTCTTCAGGGTTTCTACAATCACATAAATTTTCATTATTTTTGTCTGATTTTAGTTTAGGATTTTTATTAATACTGTTTTGGCGCGCGTGTGTTTCCAGGATTTTATTAATATGTTTCTTTTTATGATTCTTAGTAGATTTTTAGTGAAACTGTAACTTAATTTTAAGGTGTTTTTATTAAAGATCTCGCTAAGTCTGCTTTTAGTAGGGAAGTGTTTTTCGATTAAAGCTAGGAACTTATGTCTTAGTTTAGTACTAACCATTTGGTATTAGCATAAACTCCGCTAATTTTTATAACACAGCCCTAAAAAATAGCGGATACAAAAACGCTAACATAAGTTATGGAAATAATAGCACTAACAGAAAGAAAAACAGGATAAGAAAAATCATTTGGTATACCCGTCCGTTCAACCAAATAATAACGAATGAACACGCTTATAACGATACGTAATTTATGAATTGGATCGTATTTACGATTCCAATGGAATAAATTATGACCATGGAATATTAGTGTTTAAGCCTTTTTATTATATATATATATATATATATATATATATATATATATATATATATATATATACATCAGATACTTTTTACATCTGTGATGCAATGTGAAAGCATCGTTGGACTAAGTGTATTGATGTCAAGTTGGGGAATATATTGAAAAATCGTAAAAATCTGTCTTGTTTCAACTTTTGAGGCTGAGAAATTGTTGAATGACCATCCTATGTATGCATACTTTACATGCACCCTGTGTATTAGCTTGCACACACACACTCATACTCACCCAGAGGAAAAAAATCACTGTTAATAACTCATTCTCGAATTGTGTCCACTTCAAAATCTAAAGTAAAACAAAGCCATAGTGAATTGAGAAAATACATGTTATTTCTTCAAAATATCAAGGAATCAGATTTAGAATGAGAGGTTTTGTGACGTGAAGTTTTGTGGTTCCACAGAGTTTTTGATTTGAAGAACTTAATTTTCGGTCTGAATTAGAATTTTGGCCCAAATCGGACTTTCGAACTCAATTGGTCTTATAGACTGAATCAGAGTTAAAGTGAGGTTTTGAAGTTCCATTGAGTGAATTGAGGAATTCAAAGATATTTCTTCAAAATTATCATTCTTGTTTTTTAAGCTAGGCTAGAGATCCATTGACTTTTGGGTCGGAGGCCCAATTAGCCCTGCGCAACGAGCTGGCTCACACGGAGTTCGGCTTTTAAGCTAGTTACTAACAATGGTGTGTTAGTTTTTCATTATATTTTAGTCGGTACGTACATTTATTATTTAATTCCTCGATCGAGTTCTGACGAGCGGAGGAGTGACAACCGATAAACTCGAAATTTTATTTTCTTTAGAATCAAATGTCACTCTTGTTTTAACTACATATCTATATAATAAATGCGAATGTCAGTGTGTCAGTGTGTCACACTTTTTCAATTTTACTCCTAGAGACTGATGCCCAACAAATCCTACCATTTTGGAATCAGGCCGATTCCATGAGCAAATTAATAACATTCCGGGATGGATCCGAACCCGCAATCCTTTAATTTTGGATTCCTAATTTTTCATTACTGAAATAGTTTTAAGATTCTGTTTTCACATTCTGCTTCTACTGGTAAAAACAATTAAAGGGACACAACTCTCTAACTTTCAATAGCTCATATTCAAATGAAAAAAAAATGACTGTTCTCAAATTAAAGTTTTTCAAGTTAAAATTGTTCATGCTTTCAACTTTATTCCAACATATCACAGAATTTTGGAATCAGGCTGACTCTGTGAGTAAATTAAAAAAATTTCAGGACGAATCCGCATACCTGAAACCGGACCGGCCTACCTGAAATTTTCGATTCCCAAGTTTTTCACTACTGATACTGTTTACGGCGATTTTTTGAGACGAATTTTACTCCTAGAGGCTGGTACGATAACAATTTTATTTGGAAGTAAATTTGAGAATAATCGAAATTAACTGCGAAATCCAGCGAAAGTCATCCATGAAATAAAAAATAATTGTTCGTACGGAAAGTAAGGACCTACGTACATCAAATTGTATTTAAATTAAGTAGGGGCAAAAGAATTATCGTTGAACTTTTAAAAGGTAAGCTTGAATATTAAAGCAATACCTAAATGCAGCGATTAATTTTGAGTTCTTCTGTAGTTTATTGTCGCTTATCGCATCTACTCCTCCCTACCTATTGTGATGAAGGCCAAATCAAGAGCCCCCAGAGACGCTAGCTTAAATGACACCCGCTAGGGCGGCTTTTAATTTAGTTTAGAATGTGTCTGCGTTAATATGCCATAATTAAACATTCTGGTGTATATTTTTTATGTATAAACAAGCCATCCACATTCAGATTTCTACCATTTTCATTTAATTTACTGTTTTTTTTTTATACAATTTGCGCAGAAAGATCTGCACTTAAGCCCGTTTAATGCCCATCGGAAAGACGGTTCCCTGAAAACCGTACTGTGACCGGTAACGCTGTTTGGCTAACAGCTGCTACCACCGTGAATCAGGGTGAAACTTGGGAACGGTAGCAATTAAGAAATGTTTACACGCACCTCAAAATCCCTCAGTTAGAGGCCGTGCTGCGGGGTGTAGTTCACAGTTATACCCTTTCATTCCACCCAGCCCGTTTATTCCACCTTAAACTTATATTCCACTCAGCAATTTCATTCCAGCTGATACAGAGTTGAGAACTGCAAGAAGCAGTCAAACAAGAAGCAGCAAGGAATTTATTAATGACTATTGTAAGGATATTATGGAGTCGACGTGCTTTGATGACAGAAAGACTTTTAATGCATATCACTGAATAGGAAGTTAGTTGTAAATGGAAAACTGGGCAAAGATACACGAGATATACTGACGAGCAAGGGAGCGACAATTGGTAAACTCGCAATTTGAAAGTGTAAGCATAATTAAAAATGCTGGGAAAGAAAATTGGATATGACCAGCAATGATTGTTGATCAAAAAAAAATTTTAGGGCAACCAGAACTTAGATTGTTCACATTATTCTTGCAATTTATCCTCACTTTTATGTACAGGTCGTAACAGATTTGTAGTTGTCGTTTACCGTATACTTTTTCTTCTTACTTGACTTTTCTCTCTATAACTTTTTACCGGATAACTGGATTCCGGATTCCCGGTTTCTACGTAACGTTCGAAGTCTTTTTTTTATACCCGAGGAACATTTCTCTAATTCTCATTACCTCTGTTTTTCTCCCTCACTCTCTTGACATTTCCCTCTCTATCGGTTTTCTTTTTCCTTTTTATTCAGATTCTTACTCTCTGTCCCCAAGTGAATTTCCTTCTGCCTTTTTTTTCAGCATGCTTTCTCATCTTTTCCTCCTCTCTCCCACCATCTCTCTCTCGTTTTCTCATTCTCCCTATCTTACAAATCGACAAAAGGTAGATAAGCCGTAAAAAGCAAAGTAAATCAGTCAATAAAGCTTCCACTTTTAGCTAAGGATTCCTCTTTTTTTTTCTTTTTGGCCCCTTTGTTATTCCACCCGACCTGTTTATTTCACCCGGCAGTCTTATTCTAGTCTGGTGTTTTTACAATTCACCCTACCCTCTTATTTCAATCGGCAGTTTTATTCAACCCAGCTCTCCTATTCCAGCCTTCATCTTATTAATTCCAATCTATCCTCTTATTTCGGTCGGTCCGTTTATTCCACCATTCCCTATTATTCCAAACCAACCATTTTTATTCCAGCCATCTCTTCTGTTCCAGTCTACCCATTTATTTTATATTCTAAACCACCGTTTTTGCAGTCTACCCTTTCTTATCCAACCTCGCCGTTTATTAACGCCTACCATTCTAATCCAACGCCAACCTTCATATTCTAACTTACCCTTCTATTCCAACCAGATCTTTTATTTCATCTTAATTGAGTGAATAGTGGTGGTGGGTATAAGTCTGTTATTTAAGATATTATTTACAGGCGCCAGTGGTATTCTTCTTCTTTTAAATGCCGCGTCCCTTCAGGACATTGATAAGCCCTACAAAACGAATCTATCTCTCTATCTCAATCAGTTCTTGTGTATATATGTATGGTTATATGTATCTATCTATCTGTTGATTAAAGTCTATTCATATCCAGGTCTATTCCTATCTCTCTGTGTTATCTAAAGCTTCACGAACTGTTTCAGCAATAATCGTTAAGTCATCAGCAATTAAACTAAAGAAGCCAGAGTTCTTAAAGGCAGAAATTACGGAATTAACAAAGACTTTACTTTTTTGTCGGTTCCAATACGAAGAGAAGTCTATTTGTGTCTGCTCGTATGAAATGTGTCCTCTTTGAGGCTAAGTCTATGTGTGTGAATAGAATGAGACATAGCTTCTAACTAGTTTTGCTCTTGTGACTTCTGGCGGCTGTCTCTTAAATATGTGTAAGTCTTCTATTCCTCTTTTATTCACTTAATTTGGCTGGAAGAAAAGGCCTGGTTGGAACAGAAGGCTAAGCCAGGAAAGAAAGGTTGACTGAAATAAAAGGGTGATGTTTGAATGGAAGGATAGGTACTAATAAACGTGTGGGTTTGAATAGAATTCTATTTGTATTGGCTCGTAGCAATTGCAAAATTTATTTATTACACCAAACCGTTTTTTTTTTTTTTTTTTTTTTTAAAGCATTACGCCCCGAGCAACGCGTGAAGCCACTAGGATGCAGGGGGTTGCGGAAGATTTGGAGCGAGAGCGGATAGGAGTGATAGAAGAAAGGATGAGGAGAAGGATAGTGGGTAGATCAAGGTAACTGGAGGTATCGATTGACATTACATTTGAATAACTGGAGATTATAGCTCTCAGGGAAACAGTAATTGTGAAGGGTGTTCCACGGGCGAGAGGTGTGAGGTATGAAGCTATTGGAGTAGAAGAGACGGCTACATTCAAAAATTTCTATAGTGTAAGGGTGGGAGCGCGATGCCAGCCTCGTAGGGCGCTTGAATTCATGGAGTCTGGGAACCAGTGAAAGCAGCTCATCGGAGCAATTACCATGAAAGTATTTGTAGAAAAGACAGAGAGAGGCGACGGCACGTCTGTGAGAGAGTGACTGTAGACGAGATGCCAGATTAGGGCCAATTATATTACATATCCGTTTCTGGATCTTGTCAAGAACTCCGAGATAAACAGAAGGTGCACAAGACCATATATGGCAGCAATACTCCATGCAAGGGCGAATGGTTGTTTTGTATATTTGAAGTATCGATTCCGGGGAGAAAAATTTCCTGGCACGGCACAGAGAACCAACTTTCCTCGCGGTGGAAGAAGCAATTGACTCAATGTATTTGTTCCATCTCAGGTCAGCAGTCAGCGTGAGACCGAGCAGACGCAGGGAGTTGCTCTCAGGAAGTTGACTATCAGACATTTTAAGGGGGGGCAGGGAAGGATCTCTATTCTAAATTGTTTTTTCATTAAGTCGAAGCCCGTTTATTCCAAGGTGCCCTTTTATTCCAGCCTGCTCCGTTAGTCCAGTCTGTTATTTCACCATGTCGATTCCTTCCAGACTGTCTTTACATTTCTCCCCACACTTTCATTCTACACAAAACTTTTACTCCAGCACTCCATCATGCCCTTTTATTCCACCCAGCCTTTCATTCTAGCCAATCCGTTTTATTTCAATCTGAATATTTAACCCAGCTCTACGCTCAACTGTTTTGTTCCACGAAAACATTTTTCTTTCAAAAACCTACTTCAAAAGTAATATTTTTATTCCACACTGCTCATTTATTCCAGCCTGGCCTTATATTCCAACCTGCCCTGTAATTCGAGAGTTCCCTTTAACTGAACCCAGCCCGCTTAATTGAGTGAATATTTCTTATTTACCCAACACATTTAATTCCTTTTACACATATATGCCACCGTACCCTTTCATCCCGTCGGGGTCGTTTATTTCAGCCTGTCATTTTACCCCCTGTCCTCTTATTCAAGTCTACCCTTCTATTAGACACTGCCCACGTATTCTAGTCTTTGCTTTTATTCTATACAACCATGCCGTTCTACCCTGCCCTTCTATTCCACAGACCCTGTTTTTCCACCCTATCCTCCTTTCCACCCAGCCCGTTTATTCTCGCTACGCCTATATTCCACCGATCCCGTTTATTCCGCCATGCCGGTTTTATTCCATCCATCTTGTTATTCCACCTTACACTTCCATTCGATCCTGCCTATTTGTGCCACCCTGTTTTTCTATTCCATTCTGCCCGTTTATTATGTCCTACACTTTTATTAAAACTTATGTTCTTATATTCCACTTTACCCGATTATTCTACCTATTATTTTTTATTCAAACGTGCGTGCTTATTCCGGTTTATTTAGCCCAGCCAGTATATTATCGCCTGCCCGTTTATTCCACCCTACTCACTGATTCCAGCCTTCTCTTCTATTCAAACCAGTTACATCCAGCCATTTTTATGCTTACCTATCCTTTTATTCGAAATTCCCTGTTCATTCCCGCCTAGTCTTCCATTTTAAAACCCCTTTCTATTCCGACCCCATCCTTATTCCAACCAAATTCATTGAAGAGAGAAAGGATAGAGGATATATTCTTCGCATTTACAACCGCCAGGAGTCACAAGAGCCAAACTTAGAATTGAAATATTTTTCTTTGGAATCCAGTTTCAATATCTCCAAATATTGAATTAAGAAAATCAATTTTACTTCTTCAAAATGTCAAGGAAAGGTTAATGTGAGAGGTTTCGTAACGTGAGGTTTTGGAGTTTTTATCCCTCTTCTCTTCACTCAATTTGGCTGGAGTAAAAGGGCTGGTTGGAATAAAATGGTAAGTTGGAATAGAAAGCACGGTTGAAATAGAATAGTCAGCAATAAAAGTGGGGTCGGAATGTTAGGCGATATATAAATGGGTAGTTGGGAAGAGAAGAGCAGGCTCGAATAAAAAAAAAGTGTAAGCTGAAAAGGGGGTTGGCAGAATAAAAGGGTAGGCTGGAATAAAGGTATCGGGTGTACTAAAATGGCAGACTTGAATAAATGACTTTCATTCCTATTCTGCCATTATTTACCAACCTGTACGGCCCGATTATTCCATCATCCTTTTATAGAAGTCTATTTATTCCACAATACCCTTGTATTCCCACCTGCACTTTTATTCCACCAAGTCCGTTTATTCCATCCTACGTTGAATCCTAATCCCTTATGTACCATTCTACCCGTTTATTCTATTCAAAATTCCGAACTACCCTATTCCACACTCCCCGTTCATTCCCGCCTAGTCTTCCAAATTCAGTGAAGAGAGAAAGGATAGAGGATTTATTCTTCACATTTACAACCGCCAGGAGTCACAAGAGCCAAATTTAGAATTAAAATATTTTTCTTTGGAATCCAGTTTCAAATATCTCCAAATATTCAATTTTTTTTTATTCCAACCTGTCCTTCAATTCCACCCTCTTTGTTTTACCCTCCCCTTCAATTTTCACCCTCCCCGTTTGTTCCAGCCTCCCTTCTATTTCCACCCACCCTGTTTATTCCGCCCTACTCTTAAATTCCACCCTCCCCGTTTGTTACAACCTCCCCTTTTAATTTCAAACATGCTGTTTATTCCACCCTCCCTGTTTTTTCCACCTTACCATTGAATTCATCCCCTCCCGTTTATTCCGCCCGAAGCTATTACATTCTTGGCTTTTTTGTGCCACCACATTCCACCTATTTTAAAAACGTTCCTTGCATATCCGTTTAATTCACCTCTGCCCTCATATTCCACCCTGCTATTATTTTTCACCTTACCCGGTTATTCTTACCATCAATTTTTTTATTTAACCCTGCCCCCACCCCGCTTCCGCCTGCCCGTATATTCCACCCTATTCGCTAATACCATCATTCACTTCTATTCGACTCAGTCCCACCCAACCACTTTTTTATTCCAACCTGTCCTTTTATTCCAGCCTACCCATTTATTACCGCCTAGTCTTCTCTTCCGATCACACAGTCATTTCTGTCGATATAATCTCATTTTACTGTAGATAGAACTGTTTGTATACGTGAAAGTTGAAAAAAAATTAACACATGACTTTGAAAATTTGAAAAGTCTGGAAAATGACAAAGTGGCTGTTGACAAGAACCAGGAACTAACAGAGACAAATCATGTTTAAATTCGTATTAACCCCAGCCATATTCCCTAGAATCAAGCGTCAGCGTTTCAAGAATATTGTCAGACCCCCTGAAAACCCAGAAATAAGTGAACAGGGTGGAATAAGCGGGCAGCTACGAATGAACTGGCGGACAAGGTTGAACATACCGCCCACGTCGGTTATTCCAGCCTACCCTTCTATTCCACTCTTCCCGGTTATTGTGAGCTGTTTTTTTTTTTATTCAATTCAACTGTTCTCTTATTTTGGCCTGCCATTCTATCCAGCCCTGTTCCACCAAACCATTTTTATTACGAACTGTCCTTTTATTCCTGCCCACCCGTTTATTACAGCCAAACCATTTATTTCAAACTATTTAAAGTGAGAGGTTTCGTAACGTGCGGTTTGAGAGTTTCTATCCCTCCTCTCTTCACTCAGTTTGGCTGGAATAAAAGAGCTGGTTGGAATATAATGGTAAGTTAGAATAGAAAGGAGGGTTAGAATAGAAGGATAGTCGGCAATAAAAGGGTGGGTTGGAATAGAATTGTTGTGGATTCCGAGATGAATTCGGTCTCCAAGGAATGACAAACGCAATAATTAAATATAAGAAATAAAATGTATTTACACAATCATACAAAGAGTAATACTGTTAGTAAATCCAGGAACGCGGTTAGTAGCAGATACAGATAGATATATACAGTCTCGAAGTAGGACTCCCTTAGAGTCTACGTGCTTGTAACTGACTTCTACAAGAGGTTACCTCACTCTATCCGACTACCGACTGTAACCCTGTGTATTTAACGGCAGCAGTCCAGGTACACTTGGTAGAGTCCACTTATATGAAAAAGGGGTGGATCCCATAATACCCACCTCAGATCCCTTTTTGGGGGGAGTTAGTATTTTTTGGTTCCGGCACATTTTTAATTGCCGATGTCCTCTCTGGGTCCGGTTTCCTGCCATTTTCATTTATTATCTGACCTAAATATTATTTTCATTTAGGAAAAAAAAAATCACACTTTTCTCCTTTTATTTTGAAGCCGAAGTCCTGGAGTCTTCTAAAAACTTCTTTTATGTGTGATGTGTGCTCTTCAACATTGTCGCTCTTAATTAGAATATCATCCAGATACGCGGACACGAAATTCTGACCCGTGAGCATTGTGTCCATCGTTTGCTGAAAAATTGCAGGTGCAACTTTTATTCCGAATGGTAGTCTGTTGAACTTGTACAACCCTTTGTGCGTATTAATGCAAAGGATTTTCGTACTCTTCTTGTACTGAGATTTGTAGATAAGCCTCACTAAGGTCTATTTTTGAAAATATCTTACCGCCGTTGAACTTTGTAAATACCTCCTCTGGGCTCGGTAGTGGGTAATGGTGGTCTTTTATTGCCTTGTTGAGTCCCGTTGAAAAATCTGCGCATACGCAAATTTCTCCTGACTTCTTTTTTACGTAAATCACCGGCGCTGCCCACTCACTAAACTCTGTTTTTGATAGAATCCCAGTTTGTTCAAGTCTCTCCGATTTGTCTATTTTTTCTATAGTAGCAAACGGTACATTTCGCTTCTTTCTAAAAATTGGTTGGACGTCTTCTTTAATTCTATTTTGGCCTTAAATTTATTGCATCTCCCAACCCGCTTGAAAATACCTCAGGAAATTGGTTATATAATTCCTCCTTCAATTTTATAGTATCTGATGGTTCAACCTCTAACTTTTTACAAAACGAGTTGATAGGTAGGTCCCAAACGTTGAATTTCTGCATCCAGTCGATACCTACTAAATTTTCAGTATCTTTCATGACGTATATCTTAAGTTTTTTTTGTTCTGCCGTGAAATTTAACATTCACCATTATTTCTCCCTCAAATTTTATTCGTTTGCCTGTAACCGACTTGGTAATTTTTTGACTGTGTAACATGGTAGGTCTATTGAGTTTTTTTCCATGTCTGTAAGTTGATTATCGTGAGGTTGGAACCCGAATCCAATTGTAATTTAATATTTTTGTTTAAAATTTCCAGTTCTACATATTTCCTTACATTGTTGTTGTCATCATTGTTCATCCTTGTAGCTCTTATTCTATTAGTATCTTTTCTATTTCTACATTGGGATGCCTTGTGGCCTTTTTTTCCACATTCATGACAGTTTTTATATCTGAAGCGGCAATCCTTGTTCCAATGTAATCCTCCACATCGATAACATGCTGCTGGAGGGGGCTTATATTTGTTTCGATATTCGTCATAATTTGTCCTGTATGTTGTAGTTTTTCTCTTATCATAAAATTTCATTTTTCTTTCCGGGGAGGGTGAGAATCTTTTTTCATTGTCGTAAAATTTTAGTTTTCTTTCCGGGGAGGGTGAAGAACGTAGACTTTTTTTTTTAACTTACGTCTATGAGAAACAGCCGATTCTTCAATGTCCTTTGCGTCTTTCTTTATGCTTAAACATCTCTGGCAATCTTCCAATAATTGCTGTAATGTTAGACCCGGTTCATTTTGTAATTTTGCAAGCATTCTTCTACGCATTTCGCTATCTTTTGTAGAAACTAGCCCTTGAACAAAGATGAGACATTTAAAATTGTCCGGGGTTAATTCCGCTAGTTTGAAGTCGTCACAATGGTTATTTACAATTGCGGCAAACGTGGAATAATCCTCATTATCGCCCTTTACCAGGTTAAGGCATTTCCACCTCCTATGGAAGAGTGATGCTTTGGGGCTGAAGAGTTCTTTAAGACATGTCACTGCTTTGTCAAATTTTAATTCGTTCGTCTTTTTTGGCAAGATATAATCCACGAACTTTGTATATTCTTCAGGTGCTAATTTTCTAAGCAGTAGACGTAGCTTTTTTGCTTCTGTCCAATTTTGACAGTCTCTTAAAGATGTCTTCATGTCTTCTGAAGTAATCTCCAAAATTTTTGTCCTCATCTAGAGAATATTTGAAAATCTCTATGGCATTCCACACTGCGTCTTGCGAAAATGTTGCTTCTTTTTCAATATCTAATTGCTTGTTGCCCGCTACTTTCAATATTAGTTCCTGGAGCTCTGTTTGTATATCTTGATTTTCCTTTTGCGTTTGTAATATTTGCTTTTGACATTTTTCTTGTAACTGTAACTGTCGATCATTTTGGTATTTCTGCATTTGTAATTGTTGCTCATTTTGGTGTTTTATCAGTTCTACCAACATATTTTTAAAATCTTCCATGATAACTCTATTTTACGTATTTTTACTCCTCGAAATTGTTTGTCGCTAATTTGTTGTGGACGACGAGGGAAGGATTTTTCTATTTTTTTTTATCGTGTGAGTTCGAATCACTCAAAGCCAATATTTGAAAATCTCTCTGGTATTCCACACTGCGTCTTGCGAAAATGTTGCTTCTTAATTCCGCTAGTTTGAAGTCGTCACAATCATCATTGGCGACAAGGGAATTTTTTCTTTTGTTGATTTTTTCTTTTCCGCGTTTGTTCGAATCTTCGTCGCCAAGTTGTTGTGGTTAGGCGTACGAAAAGTTTTCCTTTTCCTGTGTGAGTTTCGAATCCTCGTTCGCCAAGTTGTTGTGGATTCCGAGATGAATTCTGTCTCCAAGCAATGGCAAACGCAATAATTAAATATAAGAAATAAAATGTATTTACACAATCATACAAAGAGTAATACTGTTAGTGAGTCCAGGAACGCGGTTAGTAGCAGATACAGAGAGATATATACAGTCTCGAAGTAGGACTTCCTTAGAGTCTACGTGCTTGTAACTGACTTCTACAAGAGGCTACCTCACTCTACCCGACTACCGACTGTAACTCTGGGTATTTAACGTCAGCAGTTCAGGTACACTTGGTAGAGTCCACTTATATGAAAAAGGGGTGGACCCCATAATAAGAATAGTAGGCGATATATAAACGGGTAGGTCGGAAGAGAAGGAAGGTTCGAATAAAAAAGAGTAAGGGTTAGGCAGAATAAACGGGTAGGCTGGAATAAAGGCACTGGTTGTACTAAATTCGCAAGCTGGAATAAATGAATTGGTTAGAATAATAGAGGTGGCGAGAATAAAATGGTTTAGTGGAATAAAAATCTAGGCTAAAATAAGAGAGCTGGTTGGAATAAAAGGCTAGGCTGGAATAAATAGGTTGTGAGAAATTAAAAAAATAATTGGCTGAAAAATGGCACGCTAGAATGAAAAGATTTGTTGGAATAAAATGGCAGGTTTCAATTCATCACTCAGAAAGATAAGGACATGGGAAAATAAAAGTTTCTCGGAGATCGCGTGATGGTATATATGTAGTTGTATAAGTCTCTCTCTCTCTCTCTCTCTCTCTCTCTCTATATATATATATATATATATATATATATATATATATATATATATATATATATATATATATCCAAGTATAGGATTGGTGTATACGGAATAAATTCCAATAACCAATAAATACTATTCTTAAAAGAGTGCTCAATACAGAGTAGAGCAAATATAATTATTTATTCGAAAATTATAATATAAATATGTTATAAAATCACTACAAAAATAGCCATTTTGTTTCAACACTTCTGGTGTCTTATCAAGTGATGATGTTGAATGTAGATTAAAGTGTTTTAAAAGGTTCAAATCAATCAAACACCCCTCGCTAGGGGAAACTCTCGTACATAAGCTGGAATGACCAATCAAAATACAAGTACAGTGAAACCCGGATATAAGAGACCCGGATATAAGAGAAACCTGGATATAAGAGAGATTTTCTCTGGTCCCAAATTGTTCCCATACTTACCTAAACAAAATAGACCAAACCCGGATATAAGAGAAATCCGGATATAAGAGACTTCTTCTCCGGTCACGACAACTCTCTTATATCCGGGTTACACTGTATATGAGAATTCAAAAAACTTGAAAAACTTGATATAAGCTTAAGCAAGGATTTCTCAATTTTGTCTCTTTATTGAAGTAATATTTCTTTGAAAGCGTCACAAGAAATAATTATTTAATAAACGTAGATGGTGGAACAAAGAGTGTGTGTTGGAATTGAAAGACAGGATCAAAGTGAAGGGTTAGATAGATAGATAGATAGATAGATAGATAGATAGATAGATAGATAGATAGTGAACATACTCAGATAGATAGATAGATAGATAGATAGATAGATAGATAGATAGATAGATAGATAGTGAACATACTCAGATAGATAGATAGATAGATAAATAGATAGATAGATAGATAGATAGATCAGATAGATATATGATAGATAGATAGATGGATAGATACATACTCAGATAGATGGATAGAATAGATAGATAGATAGATAGATAGATAGATAGATAGATAGATATGAACATATTTGGATAGATAGATAGATAGATATGAACAGATTGATAGATAGATAGATAGATAGATAGATAGATAGATAGATAGATAGATGGTGAACATACTCAGATAGATAGATATGAATAGATTGATAAATAGATAGATAGATAGATATTAATAGATGGATAGATTGATAGATAGATAGATAGATAAATAGATAGATAGATATTAACAGATTGAGATAGATAGATAGATAGATAGATAGATAGATAGATAGATAGATAGATTCGTTTTCTACGGCTTATCAACGTCCTGACGGAACACGGCACATAAACCAAGAAGAATACCAATGGCGGCTGTAATAATGTCCTAAATAACAGTAAGTCTTCTATCCCCCACAATCTTCATTCAATTTATCTGGAATAAAAGGGGTGGTTTGAATAGAAGGGTAAGTTAGAATAGAAAGGGGCATTCAAACAGTAGGTTAGCTTTGGATTAGATTGGTAGGCGGTAATAAACGGGTAGGTTGGAAAAGAAAGGGTAGACAGCAAGAATAGTGGTTTGGAGTAGAAAATACACGGGTAGGCGAAAAGAAGAAAAGGCTGGAATAAAAATGGTTGGTTAGAATAACAGGGAAAGGTGGAATAAAATGGCCGTCAGGAATAAGAGAGTAGAATGGAATTAATAAGATGAAGGCTGGAATAGGTGAGCTGGGTTGAATAAAACGGCCGACTGAAATAAGAGGGTAGGGTGGAATTGTAAAATCAGCAGACTGGAATAAGGCGGCAGGATGAAATAAAAAGTTAGGGTGAAATAACAAAGGGGCCTAAAAGAAAAAAAAGAGGAATCCTTAGCTAAAAGAGAAAGATTTATTGATTGAGTTACTTTGATTTTTAATGCTTATCTCTCTTTTGTTGATTTGTAAGATGGGGAGAATGAGAGAGCGGAAAAGGGATGGGAAGAGAGAGGAGGAGGAGAAGATGAGGAAGCAAGTTGAAAAAAAAGAGGCAGAAGGAAATTCACTAAGGGACAGAGGGTATGAATATGAATAAAAAAGAAAGAGAAAACCGATAGAGAGGGAAATGTCAAGAGAGGGTGGATGAGTAAAAGAGAGGTAATGAGAATTAGAGAAATGTTCCTCAGGTATAAAAGGAGACGGAATTAAGAGAAAGTGAAAATCGATATGGAGGGAAATGAGAAAAAAAAAAAAGAAATAAAAAAAGAGAAAGAGAGAAAAAGTAAAAAAGAGAAAGGCCAAAAAAAAGAGGAAAAGAAATAGAAAAAGAGGATGAGAGAAAAAGTACAGAAGTGAAATGACAAAAAAGAAGGAAAAAAGAAAAAGAAATTTACTCTTTAGTATTTCAAGATATTCTGTGTCATTTTCGTGAATATAACTTTTAAAATGAGACGTCATTGTTATTTTCATTGCTGCGGCATTTAGACGACAATTTATCCACCGCACCCTGTATATCTGTTAAAATGAGGGGTCTGTGTTACTTTTATTTTTTGCCTCATTTACACGACGATTTATCCATTTCAAAAAATCTTCTGTATTAATTAATATCACAGAATTTATTTATTTTAATATTTGTATTTCAATGGTTTTTTTTTTTTTAGTGGGATTGGCAAATAGGATTTTACTTTTTTGCATATGCTGCTTATTGGATAAGTAAAGTGTCGAGTAAAAAGCCAGACGAAAGTAAGTTGATAACTGATCACGTGTCGTAAAACAACACTATACAACAGAGTAGTTACTTAAATTTTATTTTCATTACCGCACTCACCGCAAAAACCATCGATTTCCTGATTGGTTTCAACATTAAATAACCCTCTTAAGCAAACTGACTGTCAATCATTCATTGTCGTAAATTGACACTTCGACATGGTTTAATGATTAGCAAGCCTGTCTCGATGGGTCCTCCATACTTTCGGCCTTGTACCACATCTTAGTTACGCTTAGAAAATCATTCCGGGCACTTCGAAGTGGTATAATCGTTAGCAAACTTGGTTTCGCTAGAGCAATTACGACTGAATAGTGAGTCCGATCCTCACTGGGTGCCCCATATTTTCGGCCTTATTCCATATCCAAGCAACGCTTAGAAGATCACCATTGTTATCGTAAATATGTGAAACAATCAAATTATCAAGTGTCATTTTTCAACGATATTTAATTTAAGAAAAGCACCATTCAGGTATAAGGGTTACCTTCCTTTAATTTTCGGTGTAGCGAACCATTCGATGAAGTCAAGATTCTATAGGGTACCCAGTAAAAAAATAAATAAATAAATAACGGTACATTCAGAAAGACGTGAGACACCCGTTGATAACTGGAGACGACTGATGTGACTAAAAAAATTCAGGAAGAGTTTCTGCATATTTCGTTAATCGCCACGTTGGATGTTCTTCTCTGACAATTACGATAAGTTGAAGCTGAAAATCAGTTACTTGTTTATCCATACGAGAAGGGTAGAACGAAAGATGGAAGTTGTCTTCAAAGTAACCTTTAAATGACGAGTGACAAAATCGGAAAGCAATTAATCAATCATAAAAGAACCAATCAGAGTTAAGTAATTACGCGAGCCTCGAATGATTATTGAAGATCATGAATATTCAAGAAATTTATTCAAGGTTATTCAAGGTCAATAATTCTTAAAAGATAAAACTGATAATAAATTTGCATCTTTTTTGCTGGGCAGCCTGTATTTAACGCTTTCGGTGAAGTCAGTTTTCTAACAAATAACAATGACTTTATGAACCGGATTCCTTTCATATATTAGTTCTTAGCTATAACATCTGAGCCAAATTTTCCATTGCTTCAAATTACCAGAGTATCTGATGGGTGTAAACAGCGTTTCGGTTGTCTTTCTGTTTCAAATAATGAATTATATCAGATACGAGCTTAACATATTGTTATTTTTAAAACATCCGTTTTTTTTTTGTTCTCTGATCACCAAACTGATCGGCTTCAATAAAGATATAATTTCAAAATCTTGCTACACAGGGCAAAAGTCAGGGTAGTTTATGTATTCGAAATGGTAGAGAAATAATTTGATTTGTGTTTTCCAGTTTTAGGTTACGCCATTATTGCAAGAACTAGAAAGATAAGGTTACGAGGGAAGCCGTAGAACTACAGATGTTCTTTTTATTTTTCGACAAGTACAAACGGCACACGAACTATAAGAGATTGCAATCGGTTCATTAGTGTGCCATTAGCGTGTCATCTTTCCATTGCCAGAGAAAAATCCAAGCTGTACACTAAACTGTAACCCGGTTCCCCGAAGCTGTCTCTTTTCTATTGTCATGTCGGTAATACAAACGAACCGGCGGCGACTGACTCTTTACCGCTGAAAGTTGAAACATAGCGAAAGCTTCCGATGTTTACTGTTTTGAGAATAATAGAAAATATTGCGCCACGTCTGAGTGTATCAACCGCATTGAACTTTTCAAAGATCTAAAGTAAAAGACTTTTTAAAAATGTTGTTTTTTTTTTTATCATTTCACCCCAAGTCATGAATGACACAAGGAGGCTATTGAACGTGAGAAAAAAAAACATGATTAAGGAGAGAGAACAATAAAGGAACAGTAATTAAGAAGACAAAAGATAACAATTTTCAATTCATGTACATTTTTGAAGCTCAAAGTTGACGGGAAAACAAGAAGCCGAAAGAGAGTTCCGCACAGAAGACGCGAGAGAGAAGAAACTGTTGGCATAGAACTTACGGTTGCATCAAAAGAGTTGAACTTTAAAAGGATTAGAACTAGATCCTAGTACTGTGCTTAAATTCATAAAGTTTAGGTACCAATGAGGAAAGCTACATCAAAACAATTACCATGAAATACATACACACACACACACACACACACACACACACACACATATATATATATATATATATATATATATATATATATATATATATAAAAAAAAAATATGTTGTTGTGGTTCCAACGAGAGAAAAGTATGTATATTAAAAAGAAGAGAGGTGCCACAAACGTTTTTGGTTGTAATGTGGATTTATTTAGAAAATATTATGCTTTGTTTTACATAATTTTACGACACGTGTTTCTGGTCTCGCGACCGTCTTCAGGTAAAAGTGGAGATTTCTACATATTATTAAAAATAATTAATTTTTCTTCATGTTCAATGTGAAATATTCTCGATATATATATATATATATATATATTCTGTAGTTTAGTGCTAACAGCAGGCAGAAATATTTCTCCTCCCGATGATGGCCATTTTGGTCGAAACTCGTCGAGGAATCTAAATGGAATAATAATAAAAAAAAAAACGAAAGAATATTAATCTACAACCCAGTGTGTCTAAAGATTTTAATTGTTTAATTTTTTTATTGTTCAATATATATATATATATATATATATATATATATATATATATATATATATTCCGTGGTGGAACTCATCCGAGTTTCTCTTTACCCATAGAACTGGGCCTCCACGATCAACGACTACTCTCCCCAAGCCGCTCAGTCCAGAGCATTAGAAGCCAGTTCAAGCAACGATATACAGATTTGAAATAATGTCAACTGCTGATGAGTCCCAAATATAGGACGAAACGGCCGTCCAGTGCTTTCTGCATTCTATTGACGTTTCTTCTCGACTCGATGAATTACTTAATCATTATATATATATATATATATATATATATATATATATATATATATATATATATATATTTGAGGAATCGGAGAGCCGAGTTCAAATTCCAGTCGAATCCATTACATACACTACATTGAGAATTAGGTATGAATCCTTTTCTTCTCTCTCCAACGATGGGTAAATAGCAGCACAGACTGGGTTCTATAGCCTTGTATGGCAACTGGTCTAGGAGAAGGACAACTTTGAATTCAAAACCTGCGGAGGGTCGTTTGGGGACCTTGTGGCACGTAGTTCACTAGATCTCTGTATTCGGCTCTTTAAAAAGTGTGGTTGGCTTTGCACAAAATGTGCGTTATTTAGCTTGACGTGCCTTCACAGATATGAATGTACGTGAGAGATTCATGGAAGATTGAAGTTTAAATACAGTAAATTCGACCTTGAATATCGAACGCTTCTTCGTGGTCAAATCGGTAAAGAACGTCAAGCTAAATAACGTTTCCGTATAGGATACATGTTCGAATCCTGTCAGTGGGTGAATGTTTTCTGTGAAAATTTCTCGGACATTCAGGCCGCTAAATGTTGTTTAATACTGTTTATTATAATCAGAGCATTTACTTAAATATTTGTATCTATAAAAAGAATGTATAAACATAAAAATGTCTATATATAAATATATATGCGTGTGATGAAAACGGAGTCCTTAGAAATCCATTTAGGTGATAATTTTTAATTTTGGTCTGAAGAGATGGGAACCTGATCCCGTGAAATAAATTATCACATGAATGTATATCTAAGGGCTCCACTTTCATTATTATATTTGCTCTGTTTTTACATTGAGCTCTCTTTGAATTTATATCCTCCTTGGAATTATCCCTACTATTTACCAAGTGATATATATATATATATATATATATATATATATATATATATATATATATATATATATATATATATATATGGCAAACTGGAAAGGTATTTTGTGACCTGTTTCATCCGTTACGATTTCATCGGACTGGACTTTATTGACGTTGGTACGTGTAATTATGGGCACGAAACGAGAGACGAAAATATTTAAAAAAAATTTTGAAAGAATATTTTTCTCAATCCAGAGGAAATTCATCTACTTTTTTTTTCTCTTTCTCTCTTTTTCATCTTTGTTACTCAATATCCCGCACTCTGACAATATAAAATCTACCTGTGATAAATTGTAAGAGCCTGGACGCAAATTTTACAGATTTTTTATACTAAAAGCTACTTGAATTGTACAGTTTTTTATTCAATGCTATTCATTTACGAAAACCTGGCCTTATATTCAAGCATTCCCTTTAATTGGACCCACCCCTTTTATTTGAGTGTGCATATTTTTAATTGCACCCAACACATGTAATACTTTCTGCGCAATATATATATATATATATATATATATATATATATTCTATATCTTCCAGTTTAAGGTTCCATTCCTACGAAGACGTTTATTCCATCCTAGCCGTTTATTCTGCAGTCTACAGTTCTATCCAACCAAGCCGTTTATTCAAAGCTACTTTTAAATTCGTCTTGGACATCTATTCCACCATTACCTTCTATCCCGTAGTGCCCGTTTATTCCAGCATCCCCTTTTATTCCGCAAAGTCCGTTTATTTCACCCTACCTTTCTATTCCCACCTACGCTTATATTCCACCAAGCCCGTTTATTCCATCGTTCGCTCAATTCCAATGTCTTTTATTCCATCCAACCCTTCTATTTCACCCTACCCTTCAATTCTACCGTCCCCGTTTTGGTGCAACCTGCACGTCAATTACCCCGTTTGATCAAATATCTTCTTCAATTTCCGACCTCCCCGTTTGTTCGAACCTCACTCTCAATTCCATCATCCCCGTTTGTTCCATCATCCCCTGGTCAGTTCTGTCCTGATTTTCAGTTCGACCCACTCCTCGTTTATTCCGCACAATACCACCCAGCCCCTGCCCTTCTATTAAATGGTTCCCTTTTGTTCCACCATGTTCCACCTATTCCAAAACGGTCCCTTTATTCCAGCCTAACCGTTTAATTCACCCTTCCCTATTATTGCACCGTACCCTCATATTCCACCGTTCCCTCATTCTCAGTATCCCACTCTCACTCTTTCTACCTTACTCTTCCCCTCTCTTTCTCTCCCTCTGGCAGTTCCAAACGCTCTAAATCTCTCCTCCGCCTCCGCCTCCCTTTCTTCGCTACTTCTCTTACTTTGTCACAATTTACATTTTCCAAATATTCTTGGTTCGCTAATATCTAGTCTCTCATTCTCCCCCCTTTCTCACTTTGTCTACCCCCTCTCTCGCTCTCTCTATCGCTCCCACTCTCTCTAATTCTTGCTTCATCCATCACTATCCCTCTCAATCTCACAACCTCTTTCTACATCTAGCTCCCTCCTTCTCTATCCTTCTCACTCTCTAATCCTCACGCCACCTACCTAACTCACCCTATCTCTCTTTACCTCTCGGTCCCTCTCTCTACCTACCTCTCTCCATCTCACTCTTTCACACTCTCTACGTCTCTTTACCTCCCTCTCTCCCCCTCTCCTCTCACTCTCTTTGTTGCTTCTATTATTCTAAAGTTGCATTCAATTTTTCTTGATTCTCTAATATCCAGGTTCTCCCCCTCACTCGCTCTCTCCCTGTATGTACCCCTCTCTGACTATCTATCTATCTATCTATCTATCTATCTATCTATCTATCTATCTGGGTCTATTCATATCTATCTATCTATCTATTCTATCTATCTATCTATCCTATCTATCTATCTGGGTCTATCTATCCATCTATCTATCTATCTCTCTATTCATCTATCTATCTATCTATCTATCTATCTATCTATCTATCTATCTATCTATCTATCTATCTATCTATTCTTTTCAGGCTCTCACCGAGTCTTCATTCTTTCCGTTTTCACCTTCTTACTTTTTTCATCCCTTGAATCAATGGATATGGGCAGTTGACAAGAGACAGAGCTAACAAGGATAGGAAGTTGAGGAGACCCTTAATCGCAAACGTCTTGAATGGCTACAGGGAAGAAAAGATAAACCTACTTAATGCGTTTGCAGAAATGGATGGCACAAGAGACTCTGGGCAGGATAGTCAAGAGACAAAGATTCTTCACTCAATTTGGCTGGAATAAAAAGTAAGTTAGAAAAGAAAGTTGGATCGAAAGTGGTGTTAGAATAGAAGGGTAGGCGGTAATAAACGGGTGGGTTGGAATAGAATTCTATTTGTGCCTCCTCTTAAGATTCACAAAATTTCTTTCTTCTATCCTGCCCTTTTATTGCATACTACCCTTTTATTCTATCGTACCGTTTTATTCTACCTGAACTTTTTATTCCTACCTATTCTTTTATTCTTTTATTCCAAACTGTCCTTTTATTCCATCCTGCCCTTTAGTCCAGGCTGTTATTCCACCATGTTTTTTTGCTTTCGCCCCTCAATTTCATTCCAGCCTGCCCTTTTATTCCAGCCAACATTTCGAGCCTATCTTTTTTATTTCAATCTAAACTTTTTTGCAGCATTTCGCCCAGTTCTTTTATTGCAACTAAAAGAATTTTATGCGAAAAACTACTATCCCTGACCATTTATGCCAGTCTGATCATATATTCCGGCCTAGCCTGTTATTCAGCCGTTCTCTTTAATTGATCCCAGCGGTTATATATATATATATATATATGTGTGTGTGTGTGTGTGTGTGTGTGTATATAAATATAAATAAATATATATATGTATAATTATTTATATATTATATGCGCGGTACTTATTAGAAAGCGCTCAATATCAGAGATAGAGCTAACATATTTGGTTGGATAGATGAGGGTCACAAACTCACATCTATCCAACCAAATATATATATATATATTCCCAAGAGGATAGAATCCAGGTAGAACTCAATGTCAAGGATAGAGTAAGAATATAATATAAAAGGCTCAAACACTAATATTCCATGGTTAGGTTGGAATAAAAGTAGTTCAACTAGATGTATACCAAAGAGAGCTCAACTTATTACAATAAGGAGCGCAATATATATATATATATATATATATATATATATATATATATATATATATATATATATATATATTGTATTACCTTCCTAGCTTACACTTTCATTCCTACGAGGGCATTTATTCCAGCCGAGCCTTTTATTCCACCGGTATAAAATTATTATTGCAATCTACAGTTCTATTCCAACGAATCCGTTTATTCAAAGCTGACTTTTAAACCCTCCTGCACAATTATTTCAAACGTTACCTTCTACTGCCCGATTATTCCAGCCTCCCCTTTTATTCCACCCCATGAGTTTAGCCCACCCGGTCCGTTTCTTGCTCATCTTCAATTATATTCCACCAAACCCGTTTATTCCATCCTAAGATCAATCCTAATGACTTTTGTTCCATCCTGCCCGTTTATACCACACAACCGTCGTATTGCGCTCTACACTTAAATAAAATGTAATGGTTTCTGAAACGTACATGATATCGGGAATGATCCAGCGCTTTGTGCGACCCTGTCATTTTCATTCTTGCCTACCCGTTTATTACCGCCTACCCTTCTATTCCAATCACACCCTTCTATTCCACCCAGCCATTTATTACAGCCAAGTTAAAATAGATTTAAAAATTCCACATTACGCGGTTAAAAACACTTCGAGCTGCCGAAAAATAATCATTCAATTTCTAAATATATCAATGTGGCTAGTATTTACCTAACTATCAATCTATAAAAGACAAAGCTTAGATAGATAGATAGATAGATAGATAGATAGATAGATAGACGGCAACAGTCCGAGAATATATCGCAGTGATTTGGGGAATTTTTGCTTAAGTATTCCGCTTTATATAGGCGTAAATACGGTATTTTATAAAGAAAATATTAATAGAGGATTTACTTCTAAAATCTACATTATTTACCGTCATCTTAAATGACCGACCACCTTCCAAGAATACTTACGAATCTAGTTAGAAGAAACAGAATTCTTGCTAATAACCATATTCTTTATTTCTACCGAAATGCACACGTGTATTAATATTTGAAAACATTTTGGCAATTCTAACGCGTCTTCGGATATTAATGGGACATTTCTCTCTCCCCTCTCAATCTATCTCTTTCTCTCTCACTCTGGAGCATCTCACACTCGCTCTCTCTACTACCCACCACCCCTCACTTGCTCTCCCTCTGGCAGTATCAAACGATCTAAATCTCTCCTCCGCCTCCACCTCTCTTTCTTCGTTGCTTCTGTTACTTTGTAACAATTCACATTTTCCAATTATTCTTGGTTTGCTAATATCTAGTCTCTCACACTCCCTCTCTGCATCTCTCTGCCTCTCTCTCGCTCCCTCTTTATCGCTCTCACTCTCTCTAATTCTAGCTTCCTCCTCCTCTTTCCCTCTTACTCTCACAACCTCTTTCTACCTTTAGCTGCCTTCCTCTCTATCCTTATCATTCTCTCTACATCTCTCTAACTCACCCTCCCTCCCTCTATATAACACTAACTCTCTCCATCTCTCTACCTACTTCTCCCCTTCTCACTCTCTCACTCTCTATGTTTCTTTACCTCTCACTCTTTCTTTCTTTGTTGCTTCTTTTATTCTAAAGTCGCATTCAATTTTTCTTGATTCTCTTATATCCAGGCTCTCCTCCTCCCCGCACTCGTTCTCTACCTGTATGTACCCTTCTCTCACTATCTATCTATCTATCTATCTATCTATCTATCTATCTATCTATCTATCTATCTATCTCATGCCCTCTCTTTCTTTCTTTCTTTCTTTCTTTCTTTCTTTTTTTCTTTCTTTCTATTCATCTATCTATCTATCTATATGTCTATCCATCATCCTCCATTATCCATCTATCCATCTCTATCTATCCAGCATGTTTATATCCATCTATCTATTTCACATTCCATCCATCCATCTATCCATCTCTATCCATCTATCTATCTATCTATCTTTCTTTTTTTTTTTCATCTATCTATCTATCTATCTATCTATCTATCTATCTATCTATCTATCTATCTATCTATCTCATGTGTTTATATCCATTTCTTTCTTATTCTTTCTCTTTCATCTATCTATCTATCTATCTATCTATCTATCTCAGTATGTTTATATCCATCTATCTATCTATCTATCTATCCATCTATCTATCTATCTATCTATCTATCTATCTATCTATCCATGCCCTGTCTTTCTTTCTTTTTTCTTTTCTTTCTTTCTTTCTCTTTTTTTCATCTATCTATCTATCTCTGTCATCTATCTATCTATCTATCTCAGTATCTGTTTATATCCATCTATCTATTTCTTCATTATCTATCTATCTATCTATATCTATCTATCTTTCTTCTTTTTTTTATCTATCTATCTATCTATCTATCCATCTATCTATCTATCCATCTATCTCAGTATGTTTATATCCATCATGATTTCTTCATTATCTATCTATCTATCTCATCTATCTATCTATCTATCTATCTATCTTTCCCTTCTTTCTTTCTTTCTTTTCTTTCTTTCTTTCTTTCTTTCTTTCTTTCTTTCTATCTATCTATCTATCTATCTATCTATCTGGGTCTATTCATATCTATCTATCTATCTATCTATCTATCTATCTATCTATCTATCTATTCTTTTCTGGCCCTCACCGAGTCTTCATTCTTTCCGTTTTCACCTTCTTACTTTTTTCATCCTTTGAATCAATGGATATGGGCAGTTGACAAGAGACAGAGCTAACAAGGATAGGAAGTTGAGGAGAGTCTTAATCGTTAACGTCTTGAAGGGCTACAGGGAAGAAAAGATTAACCTACTTAACGCGTTTACAGAAATGGATGGCACAAGAGGGACTAGGCAGGATAGTCAAGAGACAAAGATTCTTCATTCAAAAGGGCTGGTTGGAATAGAAGGGTCAGTTAGAAAAGAAAGGTGGATTGTAGGTGGGGGTTAGAATAGAAGGATAGGCGGTAATAAACGGGTGGGTTTGAATAGAATTCCAATCGTTCCAGTTGCAATTCAGCCCTCATTTTTTGTTCCATCTATTCAATTCGACCTCCTCCCGATTTATTCCGCACAATTCCACTCTGCCCTATAACATTCTGCCCTTTTGTTCTATCTATTCTAAAACGTTTCTTTCCTACCCGTTTAATTCTCCTCATCATAACAGTTGCCATGAAAATATGTGTAGAAAAGTCAAATGGAAGCGACATCACGTTTGTGAGAAATTAACTGAAGTCGAAAAGCCAAAGTCAGGATCGATTGCAAACGGAATCGGTTTTTTCTTTCTTCATTTTCACGAAGAAAAAACGACAAATAAATAGCAATGGTTATTTTTTGCGACGCTTCTCAAAGAAAGAACAATTTGAGAAATCTTAGGTTCATCTTTGGACAACGCTTACACAGCCGTCTCAGATGCAGATGGTCGCACAAAGCGCTGGTATTTTGACTCCAAATGATTCCGTGGAGTTTATTCCACACTGCCCTTCAATTCCAACCTATCCTATTATTCAACCCTGCCCTTCAATTCCACCTAACCCGTTTATTCCATCCTACCCTTTTTTTCAGTTTTATCGTTGGACGACGCCGTCATTCATGATTTTTCACACAAAGACGACGCATGGAAATCAAGACTTTTGCTTCTTAGGCTGGATACAAAAAGAGCGATTCTCTAATTTTATTTTACCGAAATAGACTTCGGATTTAACTTTGACTATAAACAATTGGCCGAAAACTTTCGGAAAACAAGTCATTCCTTCACGTCTGTTACAGTTGTTTAAAATTGTCGAAAAGCGACGCAGACGACTACGTAACTTTCGCAGGATACGAGAAAATTTCAGCTTAAGACAATGAAGATCAATTTGAACCTTTATTGCTGGTTTTCAATCTCCACACGAAGCTAATGTGCGTACACGGCTATTATTCAAACAGTAAGAATTAAGACGTCACAGTAAAAGCTCTTAAAGCCGAATGGC